ATTTGTGCATGATTGGAATGAAGGCCTACAGAGGAAACATTAATGTACTGTTTATTTAGCATTCAAAATGCATTTCTTGCCTACAAATCAGGCCTGGAGAAGTACTCTGGAGTGTTAAATAGATGCATGCATAATATTCACAGTAATCAGTAATGCTGCTTTATTTATCAATATATTAAATATGTTTGCAGGTTTTGCAAGAGGAGTACGGAACTGAAGGTGCTGCTGAGCAAGGGCAGGAATTATTCTTTACTTCAATTTTGAAGATATTTGACTCTTTGCAGGCAGTGTACAGAGGTCAATTTTCTTCTTGTCACTTGAGATGCTCCACTTCTCTTCCTACTGCAATGTTTCAACCAATGAAACTTTTTAGTGATAGTTAAGCCTATATATATAAGGGTAAATTACAAACACACTCCTTGAGGGTTACTTAAATTACAAATTATCCCGTGATTCTAGAAATTACATTATGGCCCCTAAGGTTTCTAATTTTATAACAAATATGCCATTTTATTAATAAATCATCAAGTTAATCAACAGTTTTTAATAATGTTAAAATTTTATTTCAATTAATAATTCAGATAATTTTATTATTAGATAGGTGAACAATTAGAAATTTCACTTTTTCAATTAATTCTGGTAAATAAAAAATTGACAGGGAGGTATTTGTAATTTCCAAATCACAGGAGGCAATTCGTATTTTAAGTAAACCTCAAGGGGTGTATTTGTAATTTACCCTATATATAAACATATATATTTGCTTTTTTGTGTGTTAACTGTTTGTTAGCTATGTCTTTAACATAAAGACTTTTAACTGCCATTACCACTTGAAAATAGATTTATTGTGCGTAATTTTCTTTGATAAATGATCAGTGTTTTATTTGGAGTCTGTATCCAATATTTTTTTTTTTGCACTCTCTTGAATTGTTATTAGTTTCTTTGGTTCATTGTTGTATGATAATTCTATGCATCACGTCCCAATCTTAAACCAACTTCATGTATTGGTTGAGCAGGACAAATTGTAGGAGTCATCCTATGTAATGGAACACCTCTTCCAGAGTCAGAAACAGTGTTGAATGTTATGATTACTTCTCGGCCCTCTGCACGTTGGCTGGAGGAAACAACTGGCCCATCAAATTCAACCACTATTGCAGAAATAGTGTTGGTTAGATGGACCCTTGCTTGGATAACAGGAATCATTCTTGTAATTGCCACTCTCTTAGGGGTGAGTTGCTTATCAAAGCTCTTCAACTTTGTTTTTCCTTCAATCAAGTTGCAAAAATAAGAATTCTTGGCATTTATCAAAAAATAAATAAATAAATAAGAATACTTGCCAATGCATGTTTTGAATGAAAATAGAAGTCAACAATTAATATAGTTTTATCTCCTGAAAAGTACAATTTTAAAATTAGGATATTAGAGTATTTCAAAGTGGATAAACTTTTAATAAAACTTTCCAAATGCCAACATCACACCCCAAGCTTCAAGCAAAACTTAGTTTCATGAAAACATTTAAGAATATTGGGTGACAGTTTAGCCATGTAGGTTTTCACTTTCCCCACTTCTAAGGATAGATAGAATAGGTGTACTCCGGGATAAAAAACAGGGCAATAAATGTTGAGTATACAACTATAGTGCCCTAGACTACTTTTATTTTATTAAGAGAAAAATGAACGCACTTTAATTGTAGATTATGGTGTCTTTCTCATCAGTTGTGGAAACCTTCTTTAATTGTTTTCCTCTTGTCATTGTGATGCCTTCAACTTGTACATATGGTTTTTAAAAGTGATAGCATTACATCACATTATTACTAAGCTCCATTATGGTTACAGACCAATGAATCAGTTGTAGTAGGTTGGACAGCTGTAGCATCTGACATGATCCCTGTATATGTTGTTATGGTCCCTTACAGTTATGCAGCTGCCGTTAAATCTGTTACAGCTTGTGAATTAATAGCTGCCTGCAAAAAATAAAAAATTGACATCAATTCATGTTCATGATCCTCTCTCTCACTAAAAAAATTGGGAATCTTCATAAATTAGCAGTCTTTTAAAATTTATAACAATATGTAGGTTTGAGTCTCATGATTGAAGTTCGAATATTGCACTTCTTTGTTAGGATTTAGCTTTAGTTGTTGTATATATGGTTTCCTAATTTTAGTTGCAATCTTAGTCATCTAATCAGTAGAAGGAAATCAATATAAAAGTAATTCTTATTAACAATTTAACATTAACTTGGAAAGTAATAAAATTCAACATCCATAACATATCGATTCAATTCTTAGTTTTCTGTTTTTGTTACTACTTTCATTTTGGCCTGTGATAGGAGGATACTAGGGAAGCCTGTTTTTGTTGTTAGCGAGCCTAATGATTTTAATGCAAGAGACTCCATGCTCCCTTTTATCTTTGATGTTATGCTTCTCATTGTTCTCTTCATTTGAATCACTGTTTTATATGTTCTTTTAGAATGTATTACTGTCAAACCTGTGGTGGCTGAAACTTTTTAATTTTATTTTCCCACAAAGACTAAAATGTATAGGGAGTAATGTGACAACTTATAATAACTTTACAGAAAAATAGAGAGAGTGATGTGACAACTTATAGTAACATTTTAGCTTTTTGACTAAAATTTATAGTTGACAAACGAGGCTTAAGAATGACCTCTCCTATTTCTGTGAGAGGGATGTATAAATTTATTTATCATCTATCAATTTCTATGCATGATATTTAATTTTACATTGCTGCATATGTTGTTAGGACCACAAAATTTTGATGTCAGGACAGATGGAGGGCATATGTTTGATAATTACATTTACAATTGAAACATTCACAAATTCTTTTAACAGAATTCACAATATTTGGATGGGTTTTTTTATGCGCATCACGGATAAACCAAACCAAACCAAAACAAAACAAATCTTAAGTCCTATCATATGAGGTCAGCTACATGAATCATTCTTCTCCACTCGACTGATTCAAAGTAGGATTCAATTCATAAGGGATTTGAGCGGCTTTTTACGTCTTAGTTGTTGGCTACCTAAGACACAACCCTCTATCTCTACCCGGGCTTGGGACCGACGGAGTTGTTAAACATCACGGATATAAGATTTAAATGAAACTTTGGTTTGCCTAAAAAATTACTTGTTTACTATATATGTAACTATTGTTGGTGTATTTTCTGTTTCCATGCAGATCTACTTTCTTATGAGCATGCCACTCACAAGGGACACTCTTTTGTATTCTAATGTCAAGCTCGACTAAGATTTTACTGGGAAGTATTTTTCAACCGTGAACTACAAGAAGCATTCCAGGTTGCCATCAAATCTTATGCTTAAGTTGTACTCGGTTTTTGGAGATGCGTTATTTCCCTTCTTGCTTCTTTCATTGGTGTAATTGTGAACCCTCTTTCTGTTTCTTCCATGATTTGTGTAGGCTTATCTTGTCAAACCAGTTGTGTACTCTCTTAGGTGTTATTGGCTCGATGAATGGGGAATCAGATAGCTAGCAAGAATTCCTTTAGTGAACTTGAAGCTCTTCAATTTTATATTATTTATATTATTTTTATTTTTATTTTTCTAAATGATGAATTGGGGGTACTAGTAACTTGGGTGGCCAAGGAAACCAGTGAGGTGCTAAGGTTATTCTCTGTATTTGGTGGCTTGATATTAGGGGGGAAAAAAATTATTTGCTATTTTGTATCCAAAATTCTGAATAATGAAAACAAAGAATTTCAAACTTCACTGTTGTTCATCAATATTATTCATGTGAGCATTTGGGGATGGTTTGAGTGAAAAAAATAAAAATAAAAATAAAAAATAAATAAAAATTGATTTTTGCTATCTATTGATTACACCCATCTGTTTCAAATGAAAGAAAACATGCTTATATTCTAAGATGGTCAGAAGCATAATTGCACAACCAAAACATAAATTTTTTATTTTTACTTTTAGAATGAAAATCAAAACATAATTTCTTAGAACATGTAATGGACATTCGGTGGATTGCATCTTTAAGTTACTCCTCTTTTGTGGTGTTGTCTATTAACAATTTAAAAAAAATAAATTAAATCCTTTCTTTAATAACCTTTGAATGATCTTTCACAATCAAGCTAAAAATACAGGCAACCCAATGAAAATTATTTAGTAGTTTGCGTGTAGCACATTATATGAGTCATGGGGTGCTTAATAATTCATCTTGTGAAACTGTCATTGCACCTCAAGGACATTGGTGGGATGTTTTTGCCAAATTATATCACATTCACTCAAAAAACTTCTATAGCAGCGTGTCAAAAGGCTACCAAAATAAAAATAAAAATAAAAAATAAAATGGTATTATCAAATATGTTATTAAATAATTTAACACAAAATTTGATAATGTCTTTTGTGCTAACTTAACTTGCCTAAGAAAGTCTCGATCTAATAGTCTAGATGTAAAACATACAATGCATAAAAATAAATGATAATCTGAATGTAAAGCAGTGGAACAATATTGTAAAATTTTAATATTTTGACATTATAACATGTGAAATTATAACTTGGATATTATCATTTAAACAATGACTTATGGAGCTTTTTCTTAATTAATATTATTAATGATTTTGAGTTTTTTAAAAAGTAAAAAAGATTTTTTCTCTCCATTTTTTTTTAGAATAGTGCTAGAGACCCACAAATTGAACCCCTAAATTTTTCTACAGTAATGTTGCAAGAGAGATAAGTCCCACACAATTTTGAGTATGTAACAAATCAAAAATTGACATATATCACGTCACATTATTATGGATCAAGTCATGAATTTTTTTTTTTTGTAAATCTTGAAATTTTTCCCGTTTTTATATTTATTATAACTCTTTTGTGAATAATACAAAGAAAAAATTGTTAATTTGTTATTGACTTTAAACTCTTCTCCAATTTGGCTAATCAGTAACGGCTCACTTTAGCTCAGCCCACGCAGCGTACTTTAGCTTCCCGCCACCTATATATACGTGTTGTGTGGTTTAAATTTCAACTGGGAAACACAAAAAATACCAGATAAAAAATCTTCAGTCTCACACCTGCAGCTTCTCTCTGTGCATCTATGTCTTCCTCCTCTCTACCTCTCAGTTTCAACCACCCTCTCTTCCCCAGACCTCAACCTCCTCCTCCAGACCTCAATCTCTCTCCATTCCCAATCTCCAAACCCTTCCCACATTCTCTCTCTAGGTCTCTCATTTGCTTCTCTCTCCCCCCCTCCAACAACTCCAATTACGAGCGAGAAGAGGCCCGGTGGCTCCGCGAGGAGCAGCGGTGGTTGCGGGAGGAGCAGCGGTGGCTCCGCCAGGAGTCTCTGTGGCACGCTGAGCGGGAATCCCTAATTCGTGAAATCTCTGCCCTAAAGCTCCGAATTCAGGAATTGGAGAGCCACCAGAGCGAATTCGAAGGGGTTTCGGTGTTGGAGGCGGTGAAAAAGGTTGTCGCGCTGTTGCAGGGAGTGAATGAGGGGGAGATGGGGAAGAATGTGAATTGGATTGCGGAGAGCGGGTCGAATGCGGTGCCCATGGTGTTGGATGTGGTGAAGGAAGTTAAGGAGGTTAAGACGACGACGTTGAGGAAGGGATCAGAAGGCGAAGATGTTCGAGCTATTCAGGTCTGCTTACTTGCAATATCCATTTCTCTTCTATCAAATTAACATTAGTGTTTGATTGATTGAATATGCTTTCTATATGTATGTTTGTGCGCGTATATATATATGCTGCGAAAAATTATATGAATTTATTTAGTTTAACTAAGCATATAGCCCTTGAAAAAATGATTCTTTGTAGCCAATCCCAAGTAGGACACAAAACTGACTTATGTTTGGTTTGATTTGGTTAAGTGGGCTTAACTTTCTATTGCTTTTAAAGGAAGCATTGCACAAATTAGGTTTTTATTCTGGTGAAGAAGATATGGAATATTCCAGTTTCTCAAGTGGGACGGAGCGTGCTGTAAAAACTTGGCAAGTAAGTTCTGGGTTTCATTCTACATGCAGTGAACTCCCAAGAATCATCAGGATGAAGAATAATGTCTTCTTTTCTTTAATCAAACAGCCAATGTAAAGATGATCTAATCATCTAAATATTCCCTCTTTCTCTTAGACAGCTATCTTTCCTTTACAGTCATCACATAATGTTGCTTGACAGGCCACATTAGGTGCCCCTGAAGATGGAATTATGACTGCTGAACTCCAAGAGAGGTTATATATCGAACAACAAATTGGGGGTTCTGGCTTGGCGGTGAATGCAGATCCAAAAGGGAATGACAGGACTGGTCTTCCAAAGGTTTGTGCCCATTGCTCTTCTATGCATTAGAGAATCTTACTTTTGAGGTGGTTTTTGCTTGTGCCAGTGTCAAAATTGAACGTACTCAGTTAATTTGTTTTTCGATTTCACGTGTACGCTCCATGTGGTGCCATTGTGAAGTTTACTTTATTTAATTGTAGGACATTTGAGTGCACATATAATCACCTCTTGTTTTTATAAAACTACCATCCGCAAAGCGCATGAAGCAGCGTATAGCTCTAATGGTCTAACCCAACAAAACTAGATCGATTATACTAGCGATGATTTCTCTGCCTATATCTACAGTATCTAACAATGTGCAAGCTTTAAAAAGTAATTCAAAATACATGCTTTTGCCTTGAAGAGGTTCATTATTGCAACTAATAGCTATGACGACACTCACTGATTCATCATGCAATGTGTTTTTACCCTCCTGTAGTGATTATATCCTGTGTTGATGGAGCTGATGAGCTGATGAGGCTTGTTATTTATTGAAAAAAGGAGTAGATGAGCTAAACCCTGAATTTCCAATGCAAAATTGTTCAATTTTTTAAGTTATGTGGTTACAAAGTTCACGAGTATGTTGGTTCTGTTGTTATTTAGGAGGTTACAAATGGAGCTGTAGTTGCTTCTATAACAGAGATTTCAGAAATTCAGGGTACAGTTGTGGAAGAAGCTGTTACAGAAATTGAGGTGTCTCATGAGCGAGTCTTTCTTCTTGGGGAGAACCGATGGGAAGACCCTTCTAGGCTTACTGGCAGGAACAAACAAGTTGGTGCAGACAAAAGTAAGGATTCCACAACAAGGTGCCTTTCTTGTCAAGGGGTGGGTCGTGTATTATGTGCAGGTATGTATCTTTTCCAATATGCTAATTACCCGGTTACATATTTTAGTTTCTTGCAACTCATCTATTGGTAGTTTTTGTTACCCAAAGTTCTTTTTCCTCTTTCATTTCAACCTTATTATTGTTTGTGTTTTTGTATATGATATGATATTAAGTGACTCAGTCAATTAGTTATACATGTAAATAGTACCAACGTTGAATATGAGTTTACTCTTATTGGATTTAGAATGATCGATTAATGTGCTTTTAGCATTTCAGATATGCAAGAAGAGTGGTGAAAATAAACAAGAGATTTGTGTAAACATTGACCTTTAGAAATTCACAAAACCTATAAAATAATATTTAAAAAATCTAGTCTTTTCCCTATTTTTCATCAATTAAAGGAAAAATGTCAAACTTTTTTCTCTTTTCTTTGGCATATGAAGAATGGAGTACTACCTTTAATTTACAAAAAAACAGAGGATTTCCTAACAGTACCTGTCTTAAAAATAAAAATGGATATCTCCCACACATATAGGCCAGCTTAGTAGAAGTTTAGCTATACTATATCCATGGCCGTTAAAAGCAATGATAGCATTACTAGAGTCACAATAGTGCTTCGTTTGTCTTTAAGACCATCTGACATTAATGGCTCTTGCAGAATGTGACGGAACAGGTGAACCAAACATTGAACCACAGGTCAGAGGATGTTTACGTTTTTTCTTAATTTTCCTTTTCTAACTCTACCATGCCATTATTTGAGATTTTGATCTTATGTTTGAGTGCAGTTTTTGGAATGGATAGACGATGGAGCAAAGTGCCCCTACTGTAACGGCCTTCGATTTACAATCTGCGATGTATGTGAAGGAAAAGCAGTGGTTTAGGTACATGTACATATTCATATATGTAGTCACAGTCATTTCTATTTATTTGTTACTGTATGTAATCACACAATAGTATTACACAGTACATATAGAAATTTGCCAATTGGGATAGAAAATATTAGAGTAATCACAGAGATTTTAGTTTGGGAGTTTTACGGAAGAAACATGGTTATTCAAGCTGTTATAACAGAGACCAGATCCCCTGTCCCCATTTCTTGTGCCCGTTATCACTTATGTACCACACGATTAGATCTAGAGACAATTGTGTGATCACGACTCTGTAATTCAGTATTTTTTTTTAGACTTTGTTTGGAGCTTCATTGGCATGGGAAGAGGAAGAGCATGGAAACTGATTTTAGGTTTTTTTCTCCCCAACTAAAACTTAAGATTAAAAAAGACTATGAAATTGGAAAAGAGGGTGACTTTTTTCGACCAAATGCTTCTCACATACTTCCAATTTGTTTTTCGTTTCCTCATTTTACATGGTTACAAATATTAAGGCCTAGTTTGGAAAGACTAAATAAGTGTACTTTTTGACTTTTTATGAAATATGAGTTGGATTTGGATTGGATTTGAAGTGATGTGTTAGAGAGGTGATGTGACTTAAATAAGATGATGTGACTTAAATAAGATAGTGACTTTTTGACTTTTTGTCTTTTTATCTTTTTTCAATCATGCCAAACTTGACCTAAATTTGAGAAAATAGTTTTGAGTAGCCCATCTACATCTAGTTATATCCCAAAGTGAACAACATTATGAGCTGCTCAGCAAACAACGGACTCAAACACTGATGTTTGTTTCTAGTTTTTTGAAAACGCTACTCAAAAAATTCTACTTTCTTATTTTTCGTATTTTTTTATTTTTACTGAATTTTTTTAATATTTTAAGCAATTTTTTTAACTTTTAGACACACTTAGGCCTCGTATGGGAACAGACTTTTTTAGTAACATTTGGACTTTTTGACTAAAATGTGATGTAAAAATAACTAGTATGTTTCAGATGAATTTTTAACTTTTTACGAAAAGATGTGCAAAAGGTAAAGAAAAAAAGAAATTTTTGACTTTTTGGTATGGATTGTTGGCTTTTTGATTTTTTTAGTAATTTTTTGACTTTTTGGTTAAAAGGGACATTTGCCAAACGATGCCTTAACATAAATACATTTAAAAAGTATAATTTTTCTTAAACAAATCTTTAAAAAATTGGGGATTTGATGATAAACTCCTCACTGTCAAATTTGTCTTTCAAAAGGACAAGAATTATATAGGTACTTTCAAAACCCCCTAATATTTTAAAACTTGTTTCTTTTACTATATTATTCTCATATCTATTAGCTTTCCTATTAAGCCATCTTCACAGTGTATTTTAGAGTAAAATTTTACTTTGAATTACTCTGAATCGGAGTAAACTTTACTATGATTCAAAGTAAAATTTTATATTGTTAAGCAAATCAACATGTTTTTAACCAGAGTAAAATTTTACTCTAACTCAGAGTAAAACTTTACTCTGAAAGTACAATTTTACTCTGAATCAGAGTAAATTTTACTCTGATTCAGAGTAAAATTTTATATCATTAAGCAAATCAACATGGTTTTAACCAGAGTAAAATTTTACTGTTCCAAATCTATCTCATACATACATACAATCACAGATATACATACATACATACACTCACTCACTCACAGATATGCATACATACGTTTACACACTCAAAGATATACATACATATACTCACAAATATACATACATACATACACTCATTTACGATATATATACATATACACATGTATGTATGAGTCATATATACATACATACATGCACACACACACACACACACACACATATATAAATATATACATACACATATACATAAGAAAAGCAAATTAGCGGAGACGTGGCGGAGCTTGGCGTGTTCGTTGGAGGGAGCGGCGAAAGAGGATCAGATGCTGGCGGCGTTGGCGAGGTCGACATAAGAGTTCCAGAGACGGTAGCTAAGCTTCCAGATCTGAAGCTTGAAGGAGTTAGAGAAGGGAGAGAGGGAGAAGAGAGACTGAGTATAGCGACCCCAGTTTTCCTCCATTGTGTATTGTGTTCCGGACTTAGGTTCCGTAGTGTTGGTTGTTGTTTATATCTTGTTTCCATCATTTAATTCCTTGTATTAGAGTTTTGGGGTGTATTGGGCAGGTTTGCATCAGGTTGGGTGTGTTTTGAAACAAATGGTTGCTATCCAGATTTTGGTTTCTTCGCTCGAGCGAGCAATGGGTTTTAGTTCCTTCGCTCGAGCCAAGGTCCCTTCGCTCGAGTGAGATTTAGGTGGTGTGTCTATTGGTTCGAGCGAGAACTCTTGCACTCGAGCGTGTGTCTGCATCTTTTTTTGACCTGAAGGTTGTGTTTCTTAGCTCAAGCGAGTGAGGTCTATGTTTTGTGTTTTTTCGCTCGAGTGAGAACTCTTGCACTCGAGCGTGTTTCTGGGTTGCAGACCTGAAGCTTCGCTTTGTTCGCTTGAGCAATGTTTTTTGCATTCGAGCGAGGGGTTTGTTGTGTCTGGTCGCTCGAGCGACCACTTCTTCGCTCGAGCGAGCCTCGCATATATCAGTTAGCAGCAGCGGGTTGTACATCATTTTTTCATCATTCCTTTTCCCTCAAAACCCTAGATCCGACTCTCTCTCTCTATATACACACTCTCACTCTACAAATACACCTAGTTTTAGTGGTCTTCTACCCTAGTTTCTTTATAAGAAACGTAGAGCTTCGCATGGGCTCCATTTTGATCAGAAGAGTTTTGGGTTTGGAACATCTTTCAATTTTACTCTTCATCTTCTTGAGCTTCCACTTTGAGGTAGGGATAAACTACTCGTCTTTATGAGTTTTAACATAAATTTTAGTCATTTTGATTAAATGGTGATGTTATGGAAATTTTGGGAAGTTAGGGTTTAATTTTGAAATATACAAAGAGGGGTTTTCCATTATTGAGTACCATGTGTGTGTGAGACCTTGGAAAATGGGGTTATTGTTGTTAGATTGATGAAATTGAACTTTAGGGTTGATATTTGAGAAAAGGGGGAAAAAACTTAATTGAAATTAAATAATTAATTTGTATAATTAATTTGGAAAATTATGGAAATATAAAATTGAGTTGAAAATCATGAAATTGGAAAATTATGAGATTGAATGGTGTAGTTGGATTGATTAATCACTCACCTATGAAAATGTTGTAATTTATCTGTTTGATAAATTTAATTACCTGTTTAGAAATAACTGTTTTGGTCTATCGGTAGAAAATAGCCATAATTGTTGTAGAATTGCATGACGATTAGGTAAATTGAAACTAATCGATTGGGATATGTCATTGAATATGACGATTGGATTAACACATTGTATATGTGCTTTAAATTGATCATTGTATATGATAAACGTTTAAATACATTACATATATATCTTGTTTGGGAGGAGATAGGGGATGTGAGGAGATAGGGGATGTACCTTCAAACCTGTGTGGGAGGAGATAGGGGATGGACTCTATTGATAATTAAGTTGGTCGGGGTGTCTAGGGTGAAAGTCCCGAAATCTTAATTACGTTTGTATAACGTAGATGATTGGAGTATTGAAATGTTAATAACATGAGTTGAAGTCTCATTTTGAATTGATTATGCTTGAAGTGTTGATGGTATGAGTTGTAGTCTCATTTTGAATTGTTCGAATTAACAATGAACTATGTCTATGAATTGATTTAGATAATAAAACGGAAAGGGATTGAAACTTGGTCGCGACTATGGATTGGTTATGAAAGAGATGTACGCTGATTTATATGAGTTAAGCATTTATCAAATGCTAATGTTTTAGTTAATTCTCATATTATGTTTAGCGTATCTCTACTGGGCTTT